CCCAACCACCCCCTACCCACAACCCAACCACCCCCTACCCACAACCCAACCACCCCCTACCCACAACCCAACCACCCCCACACTAGCATTCAACAGTTTAAAGAATATATGCGAATCTATTGTGAGCTAAATATCTTAACTGACACTAAAATCCAACGATGATCAAATGGTTCATGCTCTCTTGTACTTCAAATGTAATACAATTCTCTTCTCTAGAAAATGAAGCATTCTGGGGCCAGCAAGGTAACTAACAGGTAAAGCACCTGTAACACAAGCCTATCTCCCTGAGTTCAATCCTTGGAACTCATATAAAGGTAGAAAAAAGAGAACCAACTCCACAATATTACCCTTGAACCTTCCCATTTGCACCACAGCGTGGGCATACACGCACACACACACACTGCGCGCAAGCGCACGCGGGCACACACACGCACACACACAAACACACACACACACACACACACACACACACACACACACACACACACAGTTATTTTTAAAAAAGAAATCTGGGGGCTAGCTCAGTTAAGAGTACTTGTTGCTCTCCCAGGAGACCCAGGTTCAATTCCCAGGATCCACAATGCAGCTTACAACCATCCATAACTCCAGTTCCAGGAAATGTGACGTCCTGTTCTGGTCACCATGGACACCAGGCATGTGAACAGTACACTAACATACATAAAAGCAAAACACTCAAACACATAGAATAAAAATAAGTCTTTTTTAAAAAAAGAAAGAAACTTAAGTGTTCTGTTTTTCTTTGGCTTCCACTCCTTGTCCCACTTTATCACTCCATCTACTTTACTAGTTTTTATTTTGTAATCCCCCTCACCTTTGTTCCTGGTTTGTTTTTTCCTGGTGAGGCTCATGGCCTCCACGCACTGGACTACTCAGCCTCACGGCTTTGAAGCACTGGTCTACTATGAAAGATATCTTTTACCTCTTTACTTATATTGCATCTCATTGCTGCTTGTACTAAACTATCATCTCAATCACTGCCGAGCCTGTACATGTTAAATATTACGCAAATGTATACGGAAAAGTAAGTTTTAACATTAACTGGATACCACTAGTATAATTACCACTATACTAACTATGATACTAACTAGTTCCTGAATCTTTACAGCAGCAAATACAGGTCTCAGAACTACTTTGCCATCTTAGAAACTACTCAAGACTCTAAAGGCCTTTAAGCTGAAGTTACAATTTATCACAGTAAATATTAAAACTGACAAATTTCTCAAGTACAAATTCCTTTAAAAAAAAAAAGGAGAAAAGCAAGATTCCACACAAACATAATACTTTTTATGAAAATTATTTTCCAAAACCTATCAATAAAGTAATAAGACTATAACTTGAAATTTTACAAATGTGTTTACTATCTGGCTTACTAAAAATGTATCTGTATTCTGATATTTACTTCTATCTATCTACTATGTTATCCTGCTTGGTCAAGATATGAAGATAATCTAGCCTCAGCAGTAAAGGGAGAAGCATTAAGACAGCTTTTCAGGTAGCTAAATATATTCTGCTTTGTTATACCAAAACAAATGGTCTCCTAAAAGATACTGTAGGTGGAAACCACATCCATAAATTTCTGCTGTCAAGTATATAGTATATAAAGTATAAATATACTTTTTAAAGTATATAATCTATTTTGTAATTTAAATGGATATTTTTTCATTCATGCACGGGTTCTCTGAAAAATATCAATCACTGAGTTATGCAGTTATGCATATTTTCCAAATATTAATACAGTATATTATTCAACATTTTAAAATGTTATTTGCTGATGACATATTCATTAAATCATATTTTTAATATTATTTACAAAAGTCTCATCAAAACAGTCTAAGAATTAGAAAGCTGGAAAAATCATAGCAGAAAGAAACTCTCCAAAATTTTAATTTTCCCAGCAAAGTTCACATCTTACCACTGGCAACAAATAGTTTGTTGCTTTTCCTGACAGACTCGTTCAAGAGAATGTCTATAAAACAACTAAGTCTGAATAACATAGTCATTCAAACAAAATGTGATGGTTTTCTTTTTTAAAAAGGTGCTTTAGTTAGGAACCCAAGCCTTAACACAAATGCTGTTCATAAAAGCAACCACAGCTTTTTTAATGCGCAGGGCTGCTTTACACATTCAAACTTCATTAAGTATATTAACTGGCCGCACTTGAGTGAAGTTCTGGTAGGTGAAACACCATGATTTGCTGGTCATGCTGGGTGACTAACTCATGTGTTTTAGCAGTCACTGCTTCTGCACCATCAGTGCAGACATCAGCGCAGTGTCAAATGCAAATGAAATCTCAGCCCTACTATGAAAACATGAAAATCAGACCACTGTTAGAGTGATCAAATAAATGAAAAACATAAATGCTAGAAGAATGAATCCAAATAGCATCAGCAAGTTTTGTGTGCAAGAATTACAGATGATTATTTTTGTACAGATGTATTTATACCATGATTCAACAATAATTACTTTGGTCTGAAAATATCCCCCAAGTCTATGTGTTAGAAATTTTATTTTTAAAAAGTGACTTTGAAAATGGATTAAGTGGAGACTAAATGGATGACGTAGAGATTTTAAGAGTCATTTTCTGATAAAATCATAATTATTTTCAGCCCTCTTTTTTATTCCCTCTCTCTCACCCAGGTGATACCTTCCGCCATTTTTGATGCAGTAAGAAAGCCCTCATCAGATGCAGTTCCTTGATCTTGGACTTTCCAGCCTCTAGAATGGTGAACCACAGAAATGTCTATTCATTATAAATTACTCAGTCTGTGATACTCTGTTATAGCAGCACAAAACAGAATAAGTCATAATAATTTAACGGCACAGAAATTTGTTATAAGTTAGTCTGTGATATTCTGTTATAGCAGCACAAAACAGAGTAAGACATTTAATATCATTTAACGATACTATAAAATCAGATTGCTTTAACCAGGGCATATTACCTATATAAGGAGGATGAGAACTTGAATTTTCTTGCCCCTTAAAAATCAGAAAACAAGATTCTGATCACAGTAGTAATGAAGGTCAGTGTAAAGTCTACACTAGGCCAGTGCTGTAGCCTGACAACCTGAGCTCAATCCCAGGAATCCACACAGTGCAAGGAAAGAACTGACTCTCACACGATGTCTTCTGACTTCCTCATGCACACTGTGACAAATGTGCCCACCTACACCTACACCCACACATACACACGCACGCACGCACGCACGCACAGCAAAGCAAAGCAAATGTGAAGTCTATACTGCTCTGCTCTAAGTATCTATAACATGTTTAGAGTTTAGCAGATGAACACAGTATGTATACTGTGAGTATACTAGAGATCAGCAGTCAAAATGTTTAATTTTGACCTTTAAAAAATGATAACATTCAAAAATAAAATTTTTTAAAGATAATACTCATGAAAGCAAATCTAGCTTCTAAACAGTTGTTAGATGGTTTGTTTCTAAAAGATACTATGGTACCAACATTAAATTAGAACACTTTTAAACTGGTACAATTCTGCCCCCTAGAGTTCAGATCGAAGAGTTCATCTCAACAACTAAAAATTGGAAAGCTTCATATAGAAGAAAACTCTAAGTTTAAGACTATCTAGTTAAAATTAACTGGGAAAAAAAAAAAGGCCAGGCATAGTAGCACATGCCTTTAATCCTAGCACTTGGGAGACAAAAGGAAGTGGATCCCTGTGAGTTCAAAGACAGCCTGGTCTACACACTGAGTACCAGGACAGCCAAGGCTCAACAGTTAGATTCCCCTCTCAAAACAAAATAAAAAGGCACTAAAAAGTCACAGTGTTAGTCAAGTATTAGCCATATCAAGCAATGAAAATGAGAATGTCGTTTAACTGTAAATAACAAAAAATGAAAAATGAAAGCTTATTCATAACTTCACATTTCTTTATAATTCTAGGCTCTGGAAACGGTCCTTTTTTTCTTTTTCTTTTTTTAAATACGTGGATGTGGACACATGCACCACAGTGAAAGTGCAGAAATAAGAGAAAAACACTGTGGACTCAGTTTTCTCCTTTCATCTTTACAAAGGTTTTAGGGATCAAATGCAAGTTACCAGGCTTGCATGGGTAGCACCGTTACTCCAGGACTATCTCACTGACTCTAGAAAAATGGTTTCTTTTTTCTAAATTAAATCAGTTTTACTTATTATTGTGCGTGCATACACACATGCATGATAGGAATGGGGACATACATGCCACTCCCTGTGTGGAAGTCAGAGGACAACTTTGTGGTTTTCGGTTTTTCTTTTCACCTTTACGTGACTTCTGGAGACTGAACTCGGTTGCCAGGCTTGCATAAAAAGGGCCTTTCCCAGCTGAGCCACCTGTGTGCCCACGGAAAATGCTTCTTAAGATGTACGACAAGTCAAATAGAAAACAAACAGAAATCATTATTCCTTACACCCTTTTCTAGTTACTTTATTCCTACCAAAATGGGACAGTAAATTAAAAGCTCAAGTCCCAATATTATTCTACAATCAAAACTAGTCGGGGCAGGTGACACATAGCTGTACTCCTAGCGCTTAGTAGGTGGACGCAGGCCTAAGCCACTAAGAAAGACCCTAACCTCAGAAAGCCCAGAGTGTCAAAACATAAAGTCTATTTCAATGTTAAGTTCAGTTTCACAATAATCTCCCACACTTCTTTAAATGTTTCTACCAAACCACCACTGTTAGCGCATCAATGGAGAATCAACAACAAAGAAAGCTTAGAGGAAAGCCACAACACAGAGGAAAATATGTATATAGAACTGAACTGATGGAGAAAAACAGTAACATCATGAAATCTAGAAAATATCATCCTGAGTGAGGTAACCCAGACTCAGAAGGACAAACATGGTATGTACTCACTCATAAGTGGATACTAGATGTAAAGCAAAGGACAATCAGACTGCAACCCACAGATCCAGGGAGGCTACCTAGCAGGGGGGATCCTAGGATGACTGTGGCTTATAATAAGTTTTGGTTTTGCTCAATCACTGGGCA